TTGACTATTAGGCTGTTCAATTACCTCATGAAGTAGTCGACAAAGCCAATACAGTTCAAATAGTCTTTTATTTCACATAACAGCTGCCCCATTAGGTGTTACTATGAATTATGCATAATACTCACCCAGACATGCCATTATAATAAATAGCTCCCCAAATGGGTTCGCGCTTTTGAAAACCTTTAGTATTATGCGATCTTAATACGAACTTTATTTCTGACCGCAGTCATGTCCTTAGTCAGTAATACCTAGGTCAAAAATCCCGAGTTGGTTGCGGGAACCATGACTCGAGACCTTCTTAATATTAAATCCGAACAAGCCAGTCCATGGTCTGCAGCGTCGCGACGCTGTCTTCAATCAATAAGCGCCTGCAACTAATCGATATCGTCCTCCATCATTGCAATGGATACCTGCTTACCTCATCCTATTGTTCACTTTGTTTTTTTCACACCACATCTTACTTGATTTCATGGTTGGAATCATTAATTAACGACCTATCTCCTTACTATCGCTCAATACTGCTTCAGTTAATATGCCGATACTTATAATTCTTTTCAAAAATTCTTTGAAACTAGGGTCCGCTCTGGCTGTGATAGCTCCATGAGTCCAGTGGTTTTAATCCCATGCTTCTATACCGTTTCGAGAAAAAGGCACTTGATCCCATGGAATGTAATGGTTATTTTATTAGTGAGCGATGAGATCCTTTCCCTTCCCACTGGCTTTACTCCTAATCTTCGGTTCTAAGGGAAATCCGCTTCTCTCTTCCGCGTCAGCTGTCTTGTAATATCTGCTTTCTGAAGTTATTCCCTATCAAATCCTTGACAGAATCCCAAGAGTGTCAATCCTTGCCTCATAGTCACTGGGCGTGCCTGCTGCGCTGGCGTCGCCTGATCGATATCCATTGTTACTGTGAGAACTGATTGGCGATCGCTTAGTTACGCCCTCTTCGCAAAATCGATACCTACTACCAACATAGCTCTCTTACCACGTAATCGCCATTATCCTACCATGAACGAGCACTACATCGATTGGGGAAGAGGCAGTTCTCCCAACGGACCAGGCCGGAAAATCACGCTATTATTAGCTGATTTGATCGTTTTTTCTTATGAAACCAGTTTTGCATCGTACATACTTATTGGATGGGAGATAGTTCAACGGTGCTCTCAGAAAACCCGTATTCCTTGGAAATTTCATCGCTCTTGAAATTTTACTTCACGCATCTCTTGACTGCGTTTGACAGCCTAATTCATCTTATCTTTTTGGGAATGCTTATCGTTGACTAGTCTGTCGAATGTCAAGGTAAAAGTGAAGAACGGAATCTGCAAACCGGACCATAAATAATAATTCAGAGTATTTAATGTAGAACTACAGGAGCATTTGGACTTGCTCAGAATCGCAGCAGTGTCAGAGTCTGAGCCTTATGTGCGGCTTGTAAGTCGCATAGACAAGTTCTTTTTTTATTTTTTTAGGATTATGGCAAAAGACAGTCGATATAGGAAGGTTGCGTTGACGGCTGCTAGTGAATCTATCAGTGAATGTGCTTATTGTGAAACTGGGGGAAGTAGTAAAACTAGCAAAACCTCTGACTCTTTTACTAAGTGTCGGATTGTGAGGCACCGGAGCAGCAGGTGGAGACATCTGAGGAGTATAATCCTTGCTTTGGCTTGGTCCATTTGGAATCTAATGATTTCAGTTCCGCCGATTTATGGTTTATTCGCCTTTTTGACCTAAAGTAATTTAGTGAGCTGACCTTGAAATCAACTGTCGCTAACATTCGTAGCATACCTCATTTGTCTCAGTTGCTATACTGGATGGAATTTGTGTGCGTGATGCATCGTGGAAGAATTTGGATGACTTCGAGCTTTGGCCTTCTTTTTCGTCTTCGTCATTCTATTCAGAATTACCATTTAAAGCGACCTAGTGCTCCCTATAATATTAGTGAATGTCTCATGAACAATACTTTGAGCAAAGGGAGCTCTAAAAACCTCGGGTCCGGGAAACTGATAATTCATTCAATGGTCACCCGCTAATCGGTTGATAAATGACATCGGATTTCCTTCACATTCGATTTGAGTCCGTTCAATTTCAACAAATGTCAACGGCGTTTTCCGACTATCCATTCCGAAGTATGTTTGGATATCGACAATGACTACAAGTAAAGATTTCTTCCCCATTATCTGAAGTCATTCTCGTAATAATAGCTTGCTATTCCTGAAATCTCCTCACAATAATAATCAGGGGAATGCCCAGTGACAAATAGCTGGCTCACGTCAACTCTCATGGGTTTCCTGTTGGATAGTCAACAGTCGTGATGGTCGGAAATAATAATATATACGTTCGTATGGGAGTATCCAGAAATAACCAAAAGTATCCTTACCGAAAACCTAACTCTCATGGGTTTCCTGTTGGATAGTCAACAGTCGTGATGGTCGGAAATAATAATATATACGTTCGTATGGGAGTATCCAGAAATAACCAAAAGTATCCTTACCGAAA